AGAGAGGGATCCAGCCTTGTCCAGAGGCAGCTGAGATAGTAGGGCTGTGTTCCAGAAGCTGAGTCTGCAGTTTATGTTCTGGGATGGGTAATAAATATAGAAATATGTGCTTTTAACATTGTGGGGTGGATGAGGTTTCATTTCTCAGAATGTATCACTTCTCATATTGGTTGGTAGATGCTTGGTTGGCAGCCCAGGAGGGTTGGGAGCCAGAGACAGAAACATCCCCATGGTAGGGAAGGCTGGATGTGGTTAGACACCCTGTGAAGTTGAGAGCTCAGTTTCAGAGGGTTTCAAAGATCAGTCATCACTTCATGATTTCATGACTAAGGGTCAAATGAGGTTGGAGAGTCTGGTATTGAAATCAGGTTCTTTTAATAGAAGAAAGAACATGGGTGGCACTGAAATATGTCTGTGAGGCTCAGAGGTATATCGCTGAGTTCAGACAGAAAGAATCAAGAACAAGAAGGGTCCCTTTCAGAACAAAAACAATAGAGTGACAAGGACAAGTAAATAGTGCCCAGGGCAGGAATCCAGAATGAACAGACTATTGAAAAAACTGGAAGACAGCAATGGTTCCCTTAATTTGGATGAGAGCAAGGAGAACAAAGGGCTGCACAGATCCACTGGATACCAGGGCAGCTCCTGTCTTATAAAAAGAAGTTTGTATTTTTTGACTACCTTTCACCCATTCCTCCTGGCCCCTTCCCTCTGCCAACCACCAGTCTGTTCTTTATATTTGTGAGTTCAGGTGTTTTTTTTTTTGTCTGTTTCTTTTGTTTGTTTTCTTAGATTTCACAAGTGAGGTCATTCAGTATCAGTCTTTCCCTGTCTGATTTATTTCACTATGTATAATTCCCTTAAGGTCTGTGATGAAGTGGCTGCTTGACCTTGCAACAAGTCATTCGATATCATGTATATACCTCCTAACTTGAAATTTTAAGACATTATTCCATATGAGAAAAATATATAGTGGGGATATATCACATTTATTAATTTATTTATGTTGAATCATCCTTGCATTTCAGGGAGAATCTCACTTGATCGGGTGTAAGACCTTTTTAATGTGCTGCTGAATTCGGTTTGCTAGTTGGGAATTTCTATTATATTCACCAGGGATATTGTAGTTTTCTTTTTGTAATGTCCTTATCTGGCTTTGGTATGAGATTAATGCTGGTCTTGTAAAATGAATTTGGGAATGGTTCCTCCTCTTCAATTTTTCTTTTTTAGAAGAGTTTGAAAAGGATTGGTG